GGAGAGCCTCCAAGATTTGTGATTCGGCAGGTGGTTATGAGTTTGTACATATCTCTTCCGTCGTGGCATTATTGCGAAAGTTGAAACATGGCTTATATATGTTATGAGGTATACTACTGGCTTCAGGTCCATGGAAATTTCAGCTGTTGTGCTTGGGGAAGATTATCTTGGGAAAATGAGTTATGTGGTGCATGGTGTGATTTCAGCGGAGGAGCATGGTCATGTTGGGTTCAGTGTGTGGTGATTGATACGCTGTTCTTATGTTAGAATCTGGTATCGTAGAGAATTCTGGATGTTGGAATATGGTTCTAAAGCTTGTTAACTAAGGTAGCAGGAAGGATCTTCAGTCTGGCTCGAGCTAATATGCTCAACTGGGTTGTAGTGGCACGGGTAGCTGCACGAGGTGTTAAACAGAGATTTTGGACAACTCCGGAACAGTTCTTAGCACGTTCGAGGACGAACGTATGTTTAAGTGGGAGAGAATGTAATGACCTGACCGGTCGTTTTGAGCTCTAGCACGTCGTTCAGCGATTTGAGGCCCTGAGTAGCTTCACTTAATGTATGATGACTTGTACGTATGGTCAGAATTGGATTTTGGGAAGTTCATAGTGGATTCAGATGGAAAATTCTAATTTGGGAAGCTTTAAGTTGGAAGAATTGACCAAGGTTTGACTTTTGAGCAAACGAACTCGAAATAGGGATTTGAAGGTTCCAACAGGTTCGTATGATGATTTCGAACTTGGACGTATGTTCGGGTTGAGTATCGGATCGTCCGGGAGCATTGCGGCACTTATTATGGAAGGTTGGCACTTTGAAGGTCTAAGAATTTCTTAAGTTTGGTTTGAGGTGGACCTTGGTGTTATCGATGTCCGTTTGAGATTTCGAGCCTTGGAATAGCTTCGTATTGTGATTTATGACTTGTGAAGTTTGGCGTCATTTCGAAATGTTTTGGTACGGTTCGGACGCATTCGTCGAAGTTTGAAAGTTAAATAAAGATTTTTGATCGTTGATTCGTAGTTTCGATGTTGTTTGATGAGATTTGAAGGCTCGACTAAGTCTGTATGGCATTTTAGGACTTGTTGGTAGGTTTGATTGAGGTCCTGGTGGCCTCAGATGGATTCTGGATAGCTAACAAATCGATATTTGGACTTAAGGAGAAGCTGGAAAATCTGGTTGTTGGTGTAACCGCTTCTGCGGAAGATTCATCGCAGAAGCGGCCTCGCAGAAGCAAGGAAGTGGACCGTAGAAGTGGCTAGGAGTGAACTGGGCAGAAGCCGCAGGTGCGAAGGATTTTTCGCACTTGCGAGATCGCAGATGCGACCGTTGGAGCGCAGAAGCGGAGGTTGGCCAAGAAGGCCTGGGCCGTAGAAGCGGAAAAGGAGGCACAGGTGCGTGAGTTCAGAAGCGCTTGTGGCCCGCAGAAGCGGAAGCGCAGGTGCGCTACTTTGGGCGTAGAAGCAAGGGATGTTGGGTTGTGCTGAAGCCGCACCTGCGATGGATTATCCGCAGGTGCAGAGCCACAAAAGCAGCTAGTGTTCCGCAGGTGCGAAGGTCAGGCTAGGTAGTGTGTTCTTTTAGAATGGGGGTTTGGCCCATTTTCATCTCATTTTTTCCATGGAAGCCGATTTTGGAGACTTTTCGAGTGCTATCTTCGTCAACTATAATGGAGTAAGTGATTTCTTCACATTGTGAGTTAAATATATGGTTTATTATATGGATTCAAGCATGAAAATTGATAGAAATTGTGAGATTTGAAAGAAACCTAGAAATTGGTATCTTTGGACATTTACCACGAAATTGGACATGAAATTTAGAATAAATTATATATTTGAGTCTGTGTTGTTATGGGTAATGATTATCTTCGAAAATTTTCGAAATTTGGGCACGTGGGCTCGAGGGGTAGCTTTATCGACTTTTCGAGCGGAGTTGAGAATTTGTTTAAAATGATTTATTATGAGTATCAGAGTATATTTTTATTGGTTTGCAGAATTGTTTGACTAGTTTTAGAGCGACAGGCATCGGTTTGAGATGTTAGAGAGGCTTTGAAGCTAGTTATGGAACTTCGGAGCGAGATAAGTTTTCTGTCTAACTCTATTAGGGGGAAACTACCCCTAGGTGATGTATTTGATATGTGTTACTTGATGCGGAGGCTACGTACGCATGAGGTGACGAGAGTCCGTACTTAGCAAGATTCATATTATTGTTAGGGTAGACTTAGGTTCACACCATGCTATACTTGTACTATATGGGTTATCTTTGCTCGTTTAATTCCTTTATTTCACATTACGACTTGAGACTAGACTTGCGTGGAGTGATAGAATTGCCATTGTAGAGATTTGACGGGCTTCATGATTAGCCGTGGAATAATTATACTCTCCTTAAGAATTTCTCCCGCGTTGTGTGTCTTCGTCGAAAAGCTTCCTTAAAGTTCATAACGCATACGTTTATTTTTGAGTGGGGTCAGGGACCCGTCAAAGCTTCTTATTCTAATGGGATCAGGTCGTTCTCCTCGGTAGTGTAATAGATACATCTATGGTTCGTGCCGTTCGACCCTCGGCAGTGCGCACACTTTTATCGGATCGAGTCATTCGCCTCGGCAGAATTATGTATCATACTCTTATGGGGGTGGGCCATTTGCCTCTATAATATAATAGATATATATATATATATATATATATATATATATATATATGGTTATGTACCAGATGATGATGGGATCGGGACGTACACCTCGGTATTTCTATAAAATACCCCTATGGAATCGTGTGTAATATTTTGTCAAGATGCCCATGGACCTGGGAATTTTCCTGATTTTAATTATGGCAATCTATCTGGTAAGATCCATTACATATATATTCTCTGATTGAGGAGGTAACTGTTAATCGAGAGTTTGAGTTGCGGTCGAGAGGAGGATTGTACTACGTATTTACACTTGTTTATTTTGCTTGTTTACTCTGCCCCATATTTGTTTACTTCTTATTGTAACTGTCTTATTGGACCACTAGTTCGTGTCGATGTCGACCCCTCGTCACTAACTCTCTGGGGTTAGGCTAGATACTTACCTGGTACGCGTTGATTTACGTACTCATGCTACACTTGCTGCACATTTTGTGCAGGTACATATATGTCTGGTGATCTTTTGGGCACATAGGTGCGGCTATTGCGGGGACTACGTTGAGCTGCATTCCATGTTACGATCCGCAACATATAGAGTCTCAATCGGGGTTATTTACCTTCTTCTGTCTAGTTTGTATTCCAGACAGATGTTGTATTTTATCAAATTTCCTAGTTGATGCTCATGCACTTATGACACCGGGTTTTGGGGGTTCCTATTGGATGTTTAGTATGGTAGTTCACGTAATTATTATTTCACCCTGTAAATTCTATTTCATACAATTTACTTAATGGAAATTATGATTTCAAAAGTAATAAAATGAGTAATTAAGTCGATCAATCACTGTTGGCTTGCCTGATGGCGGCGTTAGGTGCCATCACGACCTGTAGTGGATTTTGGGTCATGACCGCAACAGAGATATCAAGGCCAAATACATGCGGAGGCACTTTAACTTGTCCGAATTTTTCGTTTAGACACGTAAACTTCGGCTAATACCTACTGAACAAAACTATTCCAAAAGTGTTCCAATTAGACACATTTTGCTGACATGGCAAAGTGTGTATTTTCCACTCTCTTAAAGCACGTTTAGTATCTCAAAAAGCAGTAAATTTATTTTTTTTTTTTTTCTTCTTCTCTTTTTTCATATTTTTTTCTTTTACTCTGGTTTTGCCTGAAGGTCTGCCTACCTTGCTAGAAATTTCCATGGCCGGCCCAGCAGGAAGCCCGCTTCTCCCTTCTCCGCCAAGAACACTCTGAAAAAATATTAGATCTGGTTTTTCCAATCCCACCCAATTTTAACACCACCATCAGCTACAGTTTTCCTTGTAAATTTGATAATAGAAAACCAGAGTCAAAATTGGTTGTCGAATATGTGTACTGAAATCAAAAAATTGCATTTGTTATCAGAGTTGGTAAGACGATTAAGGTAACATAAACTTAAAGATTTAAAATTGTCAAGCAGAAAGTTATTTGAAATTCACAGCTAAGTAGAGACACTTTACTTATTTGTCTATCCTCTTTACATATTTCATAAGCATTGTTTCTTCTCTGTTAATGGAGTTTCTATCTGGGTTAGTGGTGGTTGCATCAAGATCTCCTCTATATCAATTCTAGTTCCCAATTTCTACTACGAATCTCATTTTAACACTATATCAACTAATTCTTCATGTGTTTAAGCTGCAAAAAGCTCATGCAAATTTAAGAAAACATTACTCGAAAAAATGAAAGGACATATCGGGAGAGAGAAAGAGAGTTTTTGTTTTCGGGGGGGGGGGGGGGGGGCGTTAGCTATAACGGAGTTGTTTATTTATTTTCCCCTCAAAACTATTTTTTCCTAATTATTTGGGATCAAATTCCAAGTGTCTCTGTTTCATTGGTTTGTTTTGCCAGGTCAACTGCATTGGAAATGCACGCACTTTATATTTTGGCTATCTCAGCAAAATGTGTCTAATTAATACACTTTTGGAGGACTTTAGGTGTTCAATAGGTACTAGCCTGAGTTCAAGTGTCTAAATAAAAATTTTGCACAAGTTTAGGTGCCCGCGTATATATTTGGCCGAGATATCAATAACAACCGCAACCTATGGTAAAACAAGAGGATAATGACATGTCTGATATCAGAAACATGTTGAAATAATTGGTAGGAGACAAAGGTAAAATGGAAGAGGCAATTATGTCCAACTTTGCGGCCATTAGGAACATTGAAACACAATTGGGACAACTTTCCTTAGTTGTGAACAACAGACCATAGGGCACTTTACCTGGAGACACAACTGCTAATCCCAAGGACACTAGGACTCATCTTGTGCTAGCGGTAAGTCTGAGGAACGAAAGAGATCTAGTTAGAGAACAACAAAGACAAATAACTAGGGATGCACTTCAACCCATGGCTGAACATTTTGAGTCAGATGATCAAAATAACCTCACTGATGTAGTGATTCAACAAGTTGTGTCTAAGAATGTAATTGAATCGGAGAAAGTACTAGAGGTAGTGCCAGAAAAAGTGAGACCGAAGGAGGGGAAAAAAGAAGCAGAACGGCTAGTTGTACAGAAAAAGCCTCCTGCACCATTCCCTCAAAGATTCGCAAGGAAAAAAAAGGACGATCAGTACCGGAAATTCTTTGAAATCCTAAAACAACTTAGTGTCAATATTCCCTTACTGGAGGCACTGAAAGATATACCTATGTATGCTAAAAGGACGAAAGACTTCTTGTCAAAGAAGATTAACTTTCAGGACATGGCAACGGTACAGCTGTCAATGGAATGTTGTGTTGTAGTTACCAGGCCCATTTCTCAAAAACTAAAAGATCCTGGAAGTTTCACCATTCCGTGCATGATAGGGGATTATTCTTTTGCTAAGGCATTATGTGATTTGGGAGCCAGCATCAATTTGATGCCTCTAGCCATTTATAAGAAACTTGGCCTACCAAGCCTAAGACCGACAGTTATGCGACTGCAGCTAGCTGATCGTACCCTGGCACACCCAGAAAGTATTATTGATGATGTATTAGTACAAGTTGACAAGTTCATTTTTCCTATAGATTTTGTTATATTGGATTGCAAGGTAGACATTGAAGTCCCACTCATATTGGGACGACCCTTCTTAGCTACGGGAAGAGCACTTGTTGACTGTGAAGTAGGGGAACTGAAGATGAATTTGAATTATGAAGAAACTGTTTTCCATGTACAAAAATCAAAGAAACGACCAAGTGACATTGGATAATGTTCAATTTTGCAAGTGATGGATGTGATTATACAAGAAAAGGAGGAAATTGTTCATCCTGCAGATCCTTTGGAAGCTTATTTGTTGAATCTAGATAAATTGAATAATGAAGATTTGGCAGAGTGGGTCTTGGCTCTTGAAGGCCAAGGATATTGGCAAAGAGAGCCAAAGTTTGAACCATTAAATTTATCTGAGAGAAAGACACCAACTGCCAAATCATAAATTGAGGAACCGCCTCAGTTAGAATTATAGCCATATCCAAGTCACCTCAGGTATACATTCTTGAGGCCTAACTCTACTTTACCTGTTATTATCTCATCAGGTTTGCGAGGTGTGCAGGTAGATTTGCTTATACAAGCATTACAAGAATATAAGACTGTCATAGGTTGGACGATCGTTGATATCAAGGTATTAGCCCTGCTTTTTGTATGCATAAGATTCTATTGAAAAAGGGACGCAAACCTTCCATAGAACATCAAAGAAGGCTAAACCCGAACATGAAGGATGTGTTGAAAACAGAAGTGATAAAGTAGTTAGATGCAGGTATCATTTTTCCTATTTCTGATAGCACATGGGTGAGCACCGTTCAATGTGTCCCAAAGAAAGGTGGGATGACTGTGATAAAGAATGAAAACAATGAGTTGATACCTACCAGGACTATAACTGGATGGCGCATCTGTATGGACTGTAGAAAACTTAATAATACCACCAGAAAAGACCATTTCCCACTTTCATTTATCGATCAGATGTTGGATAGACTAGCTGGGAGAGAGTACTTTTGTTTCTTAGATGGTTATTCAGGGTATAATCAGATTCATATTGCCCCTGAGGACAAAGTAAAGACAATATTTACTTGCATGCATGGCACTTATGCATTTCACAGGATACCATTTGGATTGTGCAATGCACCGGCCATATTTCAGAGGTGTATGATGGCCATTTTTACAAATATGGTGGAGGACACGATGAAAATATTCATGGATGATTTTTCGGTGGTGGAAAATTCATTTGAAGATTGCTTGAAAAATTTGAAAAGTGTCTTAAATAGGTGTACAGAAACGAATTTAGTATTAAACTGGAAAAAATATCATTTCATGGTACAAGAAGGCATAGTCTTAAGGCATCAGGTTTCCAGCAAAGGTATAGAGGTCGACCGTGCTAAGGTCGATGTGATAGAGAAGTTGCCACCACCCACTTCTGTTAAACCAATACGAAGTTTTCTCGGTCATGCCGGCTTCTATAGACGGTTTATCAAAGATTTCTCTAACATTGCTAATCCATTGTTTAAATTGCTTGAAAAAGATCACCCTTTTGTGTTTTCTAATAACTGCAGGCTAGCATTTGAAGAACTGAAGAAGAGGTTAGTAACTGCACCATTCATTGTTGCACCTGACTGGGAGCAACCATTCGAGCTTATGTGTGACGTAAGCGATTACGCTATAGGAGCAGTTTTAGGACAGCGGAAGGACAAAACCATGCATCTTATCTATTATGCAAGGAGAACGTTAAGTGGGGCACAACTTAACTACACCACAACGGAGAAGGAGATGTTGGCAGTGGTGTATGCATTTGATAAGTTCAGAGCGTACTTGATAGGCTCAAAGGTAATTGTTTACACTAACTATGCAGCTCTCAGGTACCTAATATCTAAGAAGGAATCCAAGCCATAGTTGATTCGTTGGGTGTTACTCCTGCAAGAGTTTGATTTAGAGATTCAAGATAGAAAAGGGGCTGAAAATCAAGTGGCATATTACTTTTCCCGGCTAGAAAGAGCTGAGAATATGGTGAAAATAGAGGAGATACAAGAAACATTTCCAGATGAGCAGTTATTGGCCACCTCACTTGACATGGTGTCGTGGTATGCAGACATAGCAAACTATCTAGCAACTGGTATGGTACCTTCTGATTTTCCCCTGATCAAAAGAAAAAGTTATTTCGTGACTGTAATTCATACTTTTGGGATGATCCGTACCTATTTTGTATTTGTATTAACAATATGATTAAGAAGTGTATCCTCGAGAAAGAAATAAAATCTGTTTTGCAGGCTTGCCATGCTTCTCCATATGAAGGACACTTCGGAGTTATCCGAACAACAACGAAAGTTCTTAAGTTAGGTTTCTATTGGCCAACAGTCTTTAAAGATGCACGTAACTAGGTGAAAAAGTGTGATGAGTGCCAGCGCATAGGTAACATTTCTCGAAGATATGAGATGTCTATGCGAACAAATCTGGAGGTTGAGGTATTTGATGTATGGGGAATAGAATTCATGGGACCGTTCATCCTCATTTGGTAATAAATACATATTAATTAGTTGCAGTTGACTACGTGTCAAAGTGGGTCGAGGCAGTGGAAATACCAACAAATGCTTCCAATGGAGTGATCAAGTTCCTAAAAAGAAATATTTTCACCAGGTCTGGTACTCCAAGGGCAATAATTAGTGATGGAGGCACTCATTTTTGCAACCGAGCTTTTGACAAGATTTTGGAAAAATATGGCGTTCGCCATAAGGTTGCAACACCAAATCATCCACAAACAAGTGGCCAAGTAGAGGTGACAAACAGAGAAATTAAGAACATCCTCACAAAGACAGTTAATGGCACTAGGACTGATTGCACAAATAAATTGGATGAAGCATTATGGGCATATCGCACGGTATTTAAAACTCCTCTTAGGATGTCACCATACATGCTTGTATTTCGAAAGGCATGCCATCTACCTGTAGAGCTTGAACAGAAGGCTCTATTGGCGTTGAAGAGTTTGAACTTGGATTTGGAAGCTGCTGGAGCACAAAGACTAACAGAGTTACATGAGTTAGATGATTTCTGCCTACAAGCTTATGAGAGTTCAAAATTATAAAAGGAGTGGATGAAAATAGCTCATGACAAGCACATCTTGAAGTGGTCTGGCCCGTTCAGAGTGGTTCAGGTATTCCATATGGAGCAGTTAAGGTCAAGGATGGCAGTAGAAAGTTTCAAGTAAATGGTCAACGTTTGAAGCATTACCATGGGTTGGTTGAGGAAAATAGACTAGCGTCTGTGATGGAGTTAAAAGACCCTTGATCCGAGTCATTGAGTCGTGCCACGATATTAAATAAGACGCTTGTTAGAAGGCAACCCAAGTTTCTAACCTTCCTCATAATTGTTGATTTTTCTTAAGTATTCAATATTTGGAAAAAAAATAGGAACCATAGTTTTAGTTTNATTTAAAGTGTGTGGTAACCCTTGTACTCAATCTTTTTAATGTTCAAAGCTTGAGTTAGCATCCATTTTGTCTGTGTTTGTGGGAATGTAGCACCAGAGTAAAGTCACTATGTGCTCGGGTAGCCTAATTTTGCCATTGTGGGGTGATGTTGCAAGCTATCTTACTGTTTGTTTTTTAAAATGTATGTTGCACCAATACAGTTGGAGGGGGAAGTCTGAGTACCCTAAAGCTCTGTTCTTGGCACCCTGTTAAATTGGATGATGATGGCAGAATTGTTACATATAACTTCATAGATCTATGGTTACTGAACATTGGACGTACAATCCAACATTGTTGTTGACTGGATGCTTGGTCTGCCTCGTCCCATCAGAACACATACTTATTATCATTTTTTTTGTTTGCAGAAAATTGTTGGCTCACTCATCTAATGCATCAAAGAAAAGTTGAGTGGCAAAAGCAAGCAAACACTAACTCCCGAACAAGAAGCTGAAGTAGAGCAACCTGTCACCAAGTGACCAAACTCGTCCAAACAGATGTTTGTTGAAGGAGCCAGGGAATTTTACGAGTCACTGCTGACAAAGAAACACTTACCTGAACATCCCATTGACGAAAATACTTATGGCCAAAAATACCCTAAATTATTGACGGAGCTAAAAAGAAGTGGATGGGATATTCTGCTTCAGAGTATGGTCAAGGCAAATTTGACCTTAGTTCGCGAACTATATGCGAATTGGAAATTCACAAAGGGCGACATAGTGATGGTTCGTGGTGTTAAGGTTGACATCAACTCTGAAGGTTTGAATGGATTTTTGAAATTAGAGCAAACAGATATTACACCGTTGGAGAACTAAGGTCATCCAAAAGGTGCTCTGTGTTGACAATCCGAACACAGAGTGGATAAAGAGAAAGAGTAATGCCTACAATCCCCTAGTTTACAAATGGTTAACAAGAAAAGCTCGGGCATATCTCTCTTTTGTGTTCCACAGGCTCATTCCTTGCGAAGGCAACACTCATGTTATGTTTGAAAGAGTTATTGTAACATATGCATTGATGACCAAAACAGATGTAAATGTTGGGGCCCTGATGTACAGAGAAATGGAGCAAACAAGAGATAACTATCATTTGCGGTTGTTCTTTGCAAGCACACTGACCAAGTATATGATGAGTTTGCGTATTTTGAAGGAGCCCGGTGATGAAATGGAGCTTTTTATTCCAAAGAAGAAATATATTATTTCTATAAAGAGCCATAAGGAAGAGAAGTTGACGGCTTTCACAACTGAGCAGCAACTAGCATGCATGAGCCGGATGTTGACTCGTATATGGTTGGTGACGGAGAGAGATATGGCTGCTCGCCATATTGATATTAGTGATATCATGACACAACTAACTTTGGACGAGGATGAGCGTTGTTTGTTTGTCCTGTCATCGACCACTCGACTTGAGACCGAACGTGAGACTGATGCCACCACTTCTGCTACTACTACTTCTCTGGGCTACATTGCTACAGGCTCAAGGCCAGAGGATGGAACCACTCCTGATGTGATAGTTTAGGGAAGTGCCTCTACACCCTACTTGTTTAATTTGTGTGCATTGGGGAAATGCACAATCATAAGTGTGGGGGTGGGAGTAGTCTTGCTTGTGAATACTTTTATTTTTTATATTTTTTAGTATCTTTTATTCTTCTTGGATTTTCTTTTCCATGGTTCTTTCCCAAGGAGCTTTTTTTTTTAAACAGGCATTTTTTTTGTTTTAAGGAAAGTTCGGAACCTTGATATGCCTTCTCTAAGAGTCACCAAGTA